CATTAGTCTCGTCGTGGCTGCTCCCAGCCGTCCTTTCGTTCTGCCTTCATGCGGCCCCCGGGAAAGAATCTGGCTCTGCCCTGATGTACTTGCCCGACAGCACTAATGTCAGGATGATTTTGGGCAGGTGCCTTCCGGCGGCTGGCATCCAGCCACACCAGCACGAGGCTGGGGCGACAGAGGCCTGCCATTCCGCAACCACGACACCCACGCTACATACGGACGAACTCGGCGAACACGGTAGTTTTAACCCTGTACGGGCTATCGTCATTGGAATTGTACTCCTGGCGGTCCTGCTGCTGTCCAAGCTCGTGGTGACGTGCGCAATTTTGGCGTGACGCCGCACGTGGTCAGGGTCACGAGTCAGATGGGCTTCACAACATCCCAGGCAACGGAGCTCGTGGACCGTAGTCTTTTCGACGCTTTGAGGCAGGAGAATCTCTCTCTCATGTATGACAGGTAGGTCGAAGCCTTCCCGCATACATTTTGTTTTCCTTCCCACTTCCCTTTTCTTTTCTCTTCGTTGCTCAGATGGACCGCTCACATAAGGCTTCTCATCGACCAATGTAAGCTTTATAGGCCCTTATTTGCTGGAGCTTTCAAAGCTGATATATGCCTGAAGTCATACATATCATGTCCGACGCCATGTAGCCGCCAGCTTTTGTTAACCTTACGAGGTCCTTAACGGCATCTGGTTTCATAATCTTTTTACTAAAGAGGCTTGTACTTCATGGTATCTATTCTGGTAAAGATAATTCATGTTGACTCCTTGGACTAGACTTCTATGCGGTCTTCGGTTTGACGGAAACCTATGTTGGAATTCTAATAGGTGGTGAGGAGCTACGCTCTCGGCTGCCACACATTCTACGTGCTTACGAACTCGGTAATGAGATGTTGCGAGGTGAAGAGGCTCTGGAATATTGTATAATAGTACTGATCTGTATGCTCACGATTCGCGTAAACCATGAGCGGGTGATTTTGATGCCAAACAAAACCCCATCTCGGACGGACTTTCAAATCAATGGCCCGACTGCGAGGTGGACTACGAATCTTTGACCGCAATCCCGGGAAGCTGAATAATATATGCAGGTCAGGTTGTGTCTTAGAGCAAGTGTTTGGCTGATTGCTTGGTTAGACCGATTCTAGCTCCTCTGTACATGATATCAAACTCTCACTGCATACGGGAGCCAAGTCAAAAATTCTTCTTTCACGAGATGCCCAACATTTTCCGCAGCCAATCACCGCCAATTTTCATAACAGTATCCTACACAGCCTATCAAACGGGACAAGAAGCGGAATAACAGCCATCGTTCTCGATATTTTGAGCGTCGTCGCTTTTTTCAACGCTCCCAAGAAAACGACCAAGCTAAGAATCGATGACTGCCAGGCTTTCACCCTCTCATTCTTTTACCGTCTTGAGTCAATTGAATCCTTCGGCAAATTTGACTCAATCCAACGCGCTCCTGTTTTGGCTTGGTGACTTTCGTCACTGGCTTCCCATCGGGATTCGGACGTGGCCGTCAAGCGCAGTACAGGAATCGTTCCGATGGGTTTCAAGCTTCTCTTGACAACTTGAGATACAGGCCGGCAAATTCCCCGCTGTGATTAGAGTGTGGCTTTTGTTTGCCAGAGGCTTCGACCTGTGGGTAGACGAGGTTGGATTGAATTGGCTCCTGCCAGCATTGGCGGTGTCGAGTGAGTCTGCTGGAACCTCGACTTTTAAGGATGCTCTGTGCGCCATGATTGCCTTTCCATGGGTCGGTTCTGTACACAGTGAAGTGGGGAAGCTTTTGCGGGAGAAATATCAACGACGATGAGACTTGATTTGGATCATGGACTTCATATTATCGGAGGCAGTTCATATCGCTTCATTAATTAAGAATCCCGGCGTTGCCTGCTGAGAACACTATCGATACCCCGTCAGATAAGTCTGAATCCGGGGTACTTGATGGCGTCGAAATCGGGCTCAACCTCGTACCCAAATCCCTCCAGCGCCCTGCGAGCCAGATTCATGGCAACGCAGACCGAGACGGTACTGTAAGCGGTAGCGGTAGGGGTAGGCAAAGTGGTGGTGACAGCCGTGATGCCAGCGCACGAACAGGCGCTGTAGTAGGCCGAGGCGGAGGAGCAGTATGTCGCGTAGGTGGGGACTGCCGTGGGCGTGATCGTGGCGGCGCCGACATCCTGACGCTTCGCAACCTCAGCGGTGGGGAGAGTCACGGCACGTTTGAAGCTTGTCGGATTCGGGATGTTGACGATGGTGACAGTCGTTGTGAGGGTGGTGGTACTATTTGCAAGGGAGTCAGGCATGATAGTTTTAGATCACTTGTTCACCAATATCGGCACTTACGTAGTGGAAGGGCTGACTGTCACGACATTGAGCCTTGAGCAGTCGGCCTGACGGCTGGTTAGAGGAGGCCTCACGCCGGCTGTTCCTCCGACTCCGCGTTGGCAGTTATTTCCGGGGTTGCATTGCTTGGTCGCGCGTCTCTCGACAAAGCCATTGCCGTACACGGCGGAGACGAAGACAGTAGGCAGAAAGAGGCTGGAGAACTTCATGATGGATAGATGAGTTGGTGAGTTGATCGCAAGTCGTCTGGTGATGTCGCAAGAATCAATGAGGTCGAACAGGCTTCTAGGTACGGGAGGAGCAAGATATACCCCAGAATCTAGACATGGCATTTACCCCCGCCGACATGTCAAGGCTAGGAGGATCGTGTTAGTCCCAGACTGACAGTCGTTGACAGGGGTGCCCACATCACACACGTGGTGATCCACTGCTGCTGGCACCGCTGGATCTCCCGATTAAGCAGGGCCTAGACCGAGCAGCTATCCCGATGTGCGGTGTAGCGTGTGCAGCCCCAAAGCTGCGCATCTTTAGGCGAGCGTTGGAGCTTTCAGCTGGCGTCGGTTCCCCTGACTATTGGGCCAAGACCCGCCGACCTTTCCACAAGAGGTGATGGCGCTGCATTGGGGCGATCAACTATCACCATGCTGCTTCCTTCGACTTCAGGTATTGATAGCAAGCCCCGGGGTAGAGGGCCAGAACAGCACCAACGGATGGATCGGCTGACCTTCGAAATCAGTGGCTCGGGCTTGCCGGAATACGAGCACCTTCCATCACATTGTGAATTCTAGGATGTTGTCTGACAACCGCTGCTGCACACCTGAGTTCAGCGAAATCCTGTTCTTGTCTCGTCGACTCAAATTCGACAACACCATCACGCTCTCGCGATGCTGAGCCAGATGATAGAGCCACCAGCTGCTATCTTTGCGCTCATTTTCGTGTTCGTGAAGTTGGCCTTTTACTTGCATCATGCGTTTCGAAGAGATGATGGCAGCAGCCTCAAAGGCTTCTCTCACGCCTCGACTGCTATCAGTCCCCCAAAGCTTGGGTCGCAAATACCCTACATCGGCCACATCATTGGTTATATGCGCCAAGGAAACGACTATTTCAGCAATCTTTGTCGGCGATTCTCGAGCAAATGGCCCATCTTTACTATCAACATGGCTGGCATCCAGCTGGTCTTGGTGCAGCCTGAATTGCGCCGACACCTGCCCAAGACCAAACACCTGCAGCTCAATCATCTCGTCGCGACCATGTTTCGTCGCAGCCTTAGCTTCGGCGAGCATTCGTGTTCTCTGCTTAAGGAAGAGTTTGATCTGAGCCACGGGTTTGGCGCCAACATATCTCGCATCTTCCGTGAAGAGTTCATCCCGAACTTGAACCTCCGGAAATACATAGAAAGACTAGATGCTCAATTTTTAACGAGCATCGATACTCTGCATGAGGAGGGAAGTGGTACCCTGCGTGTCGAGGAATGGGTCTTCTCAACCTTTGTGGGCGCTCTGGGCAAGGCTCTATGGGACGATCACGCCAGCGAAGGTCCCTTCGCGGATTCGGCCTTCCTGGCAGACATGCGTATCATGCTGCTCAACATTCGGCAGCTGAACAGCCCATTCAGCTTTCTTTTCAATTCAAGGGCAGTCAGTGCGCGAAAGTCAGTTCGAAAAGCGCTGCAGGATGCTGCATCTCAGACGTCGTATCCAGAAGACAGCTTTCTTGGACGATTGCGAACTGCTTGTGCTGCGCACGGCGCCCGAGAGGAGGACTGGACCGACTATCAGCTGCTTCTGATTGCAGGTGCCGGTCCGAACGTGACCGCTGCGTCGACGTGGATGATACACCATCTGCTCGCCTGTCCAGATTGGCTGGCTCTGGTTCGAGAGGAGGTGGACTCCTTTGTTGGAACCGAGGAGGGCCATATTGACCTGGCAGACGTACCCAGCAAGTGTCCTCGATTGTTGGCAACTTGGCACGAGGTTTTGCGCTATCATGGTGGCATGGCCATTGGCCGCTATGTTCAAGAGGATACGACACTTGCAGAGGGTTGGAGACTGCAGAAAGGGAGCTACTTGATGACACCGCTGAGGCCTCATCACGTTGACCCGCATGTGTGGGGACCTACAGCAATGAATTTCGACCCATCAAGGTTCCTGAAGGCTGATGGTAGCGTTGACGAGAGCCAAAGGAAGAAAATGAGGATATTTGGGCTTTTTGGGAGCCTGTGTCCCGGAAGATTCTTGGCTGTCAACATGGCTATGGCATTCATCATTCGATTCATCTCTTCTGTAGAGCTTTACACTTTGGATGGCTGTCAACACTCTGTTCCTACCGAGAGTGTTGAGAGCGTGGCTGGGCTGCCAACGCCAGCATGGGACATGGAAGTGGGCTGGACGAAGCGTGAAGGGAGTGCGAGGGCAGTGAGATTTTGTTTTAAGAAATAACGATAAATCGAGGTAATGAAGATGAGCATAATGACAGAGGCGTTCAAATTTGATTGAGTATTCACTTCACCTACATCCGTACCTCACTGATGGTGAGACTGCTGAGGGGAAAGCAGGTTACTGGATGGGAGCTTTCGCATGGTTAGGGTTATCATCCGATATGGATTGTCAATGTCTCCGGGCATTGACCAGGTAATTCCGTTGGCCAAGCAGGTTGCTCTTGTCGAGTCCACTTACTGGAGCAATTTGACGCTGAACAAAAGCGTAGAGCGAGCCAGAAATATCTAACCACAACGCCGTGGATTTGCAAGGGGTGGATTGCAAAATTTACCCCTGTGGATCAACAAACAGTATCACAATCTCTATAATAACACAAGATGAATGTTTATGATTTTGATTTATTCTTTCGGTTTCAAGACCTGCATGCGCACCGCTCGAACCCTGGATGTATCAACAGCATTACTCTGGGTACAATGCAACTTGAACCTCTGCTTGTAAGTATCTGCCACAGTTCTCTACCGCGCCGTCTCAACCCGCGACTCCTCCTTCGACTCAACGCCAGCCTCCTCGTCCTTCTCGATGTCAGCGACTTTCTGCTCGAGGTGGTCGTCCGTCTGCACGCCAGCCACAGCATTTTCGAACGAGCGACCCCTCTTCTCAGGACCCAGCATGGTCGTGCAGACGATGCCCATGGCAATGATGGCGGTGGCGATACCCATGGTCGGGCCAAACGCCTCAACCTTTGTGGGGCCGTTCTTGCCCTGGATGGTGATGAGCGTGTTCTCGGCAATGGCGTTGACAATCTGGGCCGAGGGCGACGAGATGGCGTTGCCGAGCTGGTAGCAGATACCGGGGAACGACGAGCGGAAGGCGGGCGGCGAAAGCTCGTTGAGATGAATGGGGATGACGCCCCAGGCGCCCTGGACGAAGAACTGCATGAAGAAGCCGCTGGCGCTGAGGCTACGCTCGCCGTGGGGCAGGATCCAGGCGGGGATGAGGCAGGCCGAGATGAGGGCCGAGGCAATGATGGCGCGGCGGCGACCAAAGAACTGCGACAGGTAGCCGATGATGGTGCCGCCCACGCAGGCGCCCGTCTTCATAAGGATAGAGGCGCGCGAGGCGGCAGCGTTGTCGAGCTGCTTCTGCGTGAGCATGAAGGTCGTGTACGAGTCTTGCGACGTGTGCGAGTAGTAGTTGAACCACGTCATGAGGATGATGCAGTAGATGCACATGCGCCACTCGGCGCGGATCATGGCCCGCGTGGCCCGCCAGAAGTCGCCGGCCGACGTGTGCGACTTGGCACCGCGGGCCTTGGCTTCGAGGAACTGTTGAGACTCGGGGAAGGCGACGCGGACGAGACCGACGGCGATGGAGAAGCCGGCTGGACAGGGGTTTCCTTAGCAGGTGCTTTAATGGGGGAGGGAGATATGAATGATAGGCTTACCAGCAATCCAGAAGACCGTCTTCCAGGTGTCTGTCTCACCACCGACGCCTAGGTTGGCACAGGCGGCGAGCACGTAGCCAAAGGAGTAACCCTGCTGTAGAATGCCGGACATGAGACCGCGAGCGTTCGTTCTGAGCCGTGTGTTAGTGTCTCACTCTCATCTTACTTAAAACCCTCAAGCAAGGGATCGGCAGTCAGGATCATAACGTACGGGCAGTGCTCCAGCGCCATGGCGATGGCGTTTCCGTAGACACCTCCCATGAAGAGGCCGAACAGAGACCTGACGGCGAGGAACTGCTGGAAGGTGGTGCTGTAAATGGTGGCAATCTGCAGCAGGCCGAGGATGATCATGTTGGCGACCATGGGCCACTTGCGGCCCCAAGCATCACCTGCCAAACCAAAGGCGGCAGCGCCGACTGATCGGAGAAGCAGGGTCAGAGTGATGGCTGTGGTGATATCCGTCTTGGAGCGGTCATAGTAGTCGGCCAGTTTCTTGGTCTGGATGGAGAGGGCGTGGAAATCAAACGCGTCAGCTGTCCACGCGAGGAAGCCAACGATGAAGAAGAGCCAGTCACGAGCAGACAGCTGGGCGAGGAGGGAGAAAGGGTTCTGAATGGGGTCGGGGTCGTGCCACTCTGTGTGTGTTTCGCCCTCGGGGGTCGTGACGACGACGCGTTGGCGCCAGACTGTGAGATCGCGAAGGGACTGCTTGGCCGTGGCAAAAGTGCCCTTGGCGAGGGGGTCCGCCTGGGTGACGGCCATCTTGCGGATGGTTGAAGGAGCTTCTGGCCGTGTCTGTGGGTGGCTGAATATCACTGAGACGAGAATAATAATGAGAAGGGTGTTGACTGAAAGGGGTGCGCCGATGGAAGGTAGATTGACGGCTGATTAAGAGGTCAAAGACAGAGCGAGGTTCTTCTGGTAGACGACATCCACCGTCTTTATACTTCGGCACTCACTCAGACAATATGACGAGGAAGAGATTTCCACCTCGCATACAACAAGATCAGACACCTTATCTGCCCCGCGTCTTACACGCCCCGGCAGTGCCATGACCCATGGGGTACCCGGCCTTGACCGAGCGATGGGTCAGTGAGTCCGTGGTGTAACGCCGCGCTGCAGCCAGGACTGGGTGCTTGCATGCACGCGGGACCAGGTACAGAGCAGAGAGAAAATTGGCAGCCAACCGGGCCAACAACACTGATGATCCGCGGCCCCGTGTCGGGTGGTAGCCTTGCGGAGTAAGACAGAGGGCGATCCACACGAGGTGAGGAGGAGCTGGGGGCACTGAGATTCGTGATGAGGGGAAATGATGGAGGCAAGGGGTTTCCGTGTGGGGAATGGTGTGAGGGAAAAGTGTTCACGTCGCATCGACGGAATGAGTTGTATCGGGTGCTGCTGTGGGGGGGTTGGAAAGGAGTTGTTGTTGATCTAGGTGGTGGTGGTAGCGCTGATGGTGGTGATGCCGTGCGAGACACGGACTATGCAGGGTTGACGTCGTGTGGCGTATTCCATTTCCTCTTCAAACTATCCTTGCTGATCTGAATTGTGACAGACCAGAGAGGAAGAAGCAAGACGTCCACGTCGAGGTTTGAAGAAGTGGTTGAAGAAACACCAAGGGACAGATAGCACTGCGAACAGACCAAGATCGACACTTTGCCAAACAAACGAACCCTAAAAAAAGGCCAGACATCCCAAAGTCGCCATCACCACTGGTTCGAACACAACGCAACCTCGTAAAACATCACAGCAACTCCTGAAGGAGCCCCTCACCAACTGCCCGACCCCCCATTTCGATAAGACGGAATTGCCACTTGTTCAGAGTCGTGACTCTCTCTCTTTCTCTCTCGCTTCACCCCCTCCCTCCCTCTGTCCCTCTTCTCCGCATCTCTGTTTTCCCCAAATGATCGAAAAATAACAGGAGCCTCCCCCGCTTGGATCCTCCCGTTCGACACAACCGCTGACCGAAAAAGCCCGATGACTCGTCGAGTGTGCCGTCTTCCGCGGTCCTGCAGGGGATCGTCACGTCGCCAATACGCTGACACGGATAGACCGGCATCCCAGCCCACGGATCACAAATGCCCCGTAGGCCACCGCAAGCGAACGCCTCCAGGTTTTTCTCCCTCTTTCCCCAGAGGACAACAAGCTTACCGATAAGCTTCTTCTGGGGGAGGCTGTGCGTCCTTGATTCCTCGATCTCCTGAAGCTAGCAATTCGTGACAATCATTCTCTGTATACGTCACTGTACTCTGAAATGCCTCTTGGGAAGGCCGGTAGTTTATCTGCCCAAAGCAGGACCTGACGTGCATCGCAAGTGTGTCTCCCCTCGTCTGACGTTTTCCCTTTTTCGAACAGGAGGCTCAAAAGTCAAGCAATCGCCCAGGCTCTTGGCACAGCGGGAAGGGCGTTTGCGTGCGCACGCGCACACCTACCCACCCCCCTTCTCACAAGAGCCGAAAGTTACTGATCCCTGCATCGTCGTGGGGACACCGCGCACTTCTGTCCGGGCGGGCTTTGGCTGGAGCCCCAAGAGGGAAGAGTAAGAAAAATAATTCCAACCCCTGCTTGTCCTTCACTCTCGCGACCCAGCTATCAATGGGATTCCAGACCACGGACACAACACCCGAGGGCATCTGCGGGCACGCAACAGAACGCCACGGCTGAACTCCTGCGGGGACGGCAATCCGAACAAGTGCGCCGCCCGCTGGCTTCTTCACGGCGTGATTTGACAGCATTGTTCGAGAAGGCATCTCCCATGCGCTTCGAAAATGAGCCGGGGGACAAGGTGGGGGGACAGAGGAGAGCTGCGTGGGATGGAGGCTGAAGCGGAGCTTTCCAGCATGGCGTTGGCGACATTCGCTCGGTCAGGCCATTCCACCTACCGGTTCTTTGTCGCGCGGGCTATTCACCGCTCTCGAGATGGCCAGGGGGGGAGGGCGTCATGTAACACCTGGTACCACGTTGTGACCAGTCAAGCTTTTTCTGGGGACGTCAGGGACAAGAGAAGCACGAAGTTGGCACACATGAAGAGGTAGTCAACCTGCGTTGCTGCAGCAGGTGTTGAGGGTGAAGGCCTTGATCTGACTCGGGGACTCTCCACGTCCAGATGCTTTCCCCCCTTCCCTCTGGTGAGACGGAACGTGATGCCAAGGAGAGAGCAGGCGCTCTCGCGGTAAGATCATTCGTCCGAAGAATCCAATTCATCAGCGTGAGCTCAACGGCCGCGTCAAGCACACAAGCGAGATCAGTGCGGACGACCGTGCGGTCCCGGCGCGGCGCCTCCGTGCTGTCCCGCGCCACGACCCTCGAACTATTCTCGTCCGCGGCGCTCTGTGCAATCATGGCATGTCTTGTTCATCAGGCACCAAAGCATGTTCGTCGAATAGCCGAAAGAAAATATCTCGTGTTCGTTGCCTATTCCAAGTACATACCAGACGCTTCGCTACCCCTCTAAATCAACCCCCATAACTCCGGTGAATGCCGTGCCGGAAGGTTCCGTATCCCTCCCTGAATGCTGGTGCTGTTGCCAATGATGATACTGATGCTCATGCTGATGCCATGCCACACCACGTCGTGCTAGACGACGATAACCCTCCTTCTAAGTCTATAGTCATGTCGGTTTATTCCGTTCCGACCCGAGCGTGCGTCGAAGCCAATCTTTCTTCCCACGGCGGCGCAAGACTTTGGAAGACTCCATCTCTCTCTTCCCTCTTCACTGCTCACTCACTCACTCACTCACTCACAAAGTCCCCTCAAAACTCAACAATCCACTTCGTCCTCCTCCTCTCTTCCCCAGAGGATACACAATAAGCGCACTGAGGAACAACCCAACAGTAATGCCAATGGCAACCTGAATGACGGCAAACAGCACGTTGAAGGCAGACGTGTTGAGCTCCTGCCCGCCCGCCCCGCCCGTGCTCGTGCCGTTGGTGCCGCTGGTAATCTGATCCGCTGACGTGACGCCTGCCAGGAGCGAGCCGCCTGCCGCGAGACCGCTAGGCACCTGAACAAAGATGGCTGGGAGCATGGCTGCCGCGGCGAGGCCGTAACCGACCGGCCTCTGCTTACGAGGCGGCTCTTGGTCGGCCTTTTCTCTCTCGATTGAGTTGGGCGAGCTAGGTCGAGACTCGACGTCCAGAGGTGTGTGGCCGTGCATCTGGTACGACTCGGCCGGCCGCTCGTTGTGTCGGCGACTGGAGCTCCGAAAGCGCGGAGCCACTCGCATCTGAAACCAGTCGACGAGCTCGAACCACGCCGTGTTGACGTGTCGGCCGAGACGAGAGTACAAGTTGGCGAGGATGCCGACCGTCAAGGCGCCCAGCATGTTGGAAATTTGCGTGTTGCCCTGGAAGTAGTCGCTCGAGTAGCTGTTGACGACGAAACCAGCCAGCGAAATACCCAGCATGACGGGTGTCTGCTTCCACTTGGCCTGGTTGACGACGCATAGGCAGAGCGTGAAGGCCGGTACGAAAAGCAGGTGCCACTTCCTGTCGAGGGGGTTGTGGCAGAAAGTGTCCGAGACGGCGTGTTCACGGTCCACCAAGCCGTAAATGGCCGTGCCAATAGTGATACCGTAACCGAGGAAAAGCGTGTAGATCATAGCATACACCATGCGGACACTGCCGGCGACGAGGTTGTGACTCTGCAGCTCGAGACTGCTGCAAAGAACCATGTAACCGGGGAGAATGAGGGCGATACTGCTTTGTGCCAGTGCCGAGAAACAAAATAGTTGGCCACCCCTGATAGAACCAAAGGCTCTGGCAAGGAATGACGTGATGATGGCCGCCGTGATTTCAAACACATTGGCGTACAACTCGTTGTTGGGCGCCACAATCAACTGCAGCCAGCCCAGTATGCACCCCAGGAGAAAAGCAATGGGCATATCGATGAAGCGACCCTGGAACGCAAAGGGCGCAACACAGGCGCTGGCAAGACCATACACGGGGACGCGAACCCAGTTGTTGAATTTGAGGTTGCGAGACATGATATTGTCCAACTTGACCGTAGCCTCGTCGACACCCATGCGGTCGTGCACGACCTCCTTGTACAGCTCGTGCACATCTCTCAGCTTGCCGAGATCGACACCCTGAGAGGTGCGGACGATTTTGACTTCCGTCGTGTGCGTGCTGCTGTCGTCGAAGCTGATGATCATGCAGCCAGGGATGTAGAGGAACTGGCCTTCAATCTCCATAACGCGGGCCGACATGGTCATGTACTCCTCCAGCCGATGGGTAGGGGCACCGTACATCATGAGGGCGCGGCAGAGCTTCACGAGATACTTGTGACGCGACAAGATCTGAGCAATGTGCTTCGTGATGCGCACCTTTTCGTCGCGCTTCTTTTTCTCCTTTGACTTGTGGTTCTTGGGCGATGCTGTTCCCCACGTGCCCGACTTTCGCTTTTTCCGGTCGGGGATTGGGTCCGTCTTGATCTTTTCGGCCACCGAGCCGGACATGGCATTCGATCCTGGCGCCATGAACATGGAGGACGACTTCATGAGTTCATTGAGGGCAAGAGACGACTTCGACCCTTGGTGTCGGTGGTACCCAAAGAAGCCGCTGCTCGGGCGAGATCGTTCCCTGGGAGACCCATGTGCCGAGCTCGGCCTCGACGGCGGTTGAGAGACTGGCGGTGAGGGGTTGGGCGTGGCAGTCATGGGTGTAGTACGACCGCTGTTGTCGCCGCTGTCCTTGCCGCCGTCGTTGTAAAGCTTCAACAAGGATCCGAGGATACCGCCGTGGTACTTCTCAGGGCGGGGAACGTATTCTTGGGCGTAGTTCTTCTCCTCGGTGGGCGTCGCTGGGCGCGATGCGGCGCCCTCCTCAGGACGGAACCTGAACATCTCGTCTGGGTCACGCCGCCTGCCTCGCTGGGTATGGGTTCGCACGAGGTCTCGGCCGTCAGATGGGAGTTTTTTCTCGGCCTCGATCGCACAACCCCAGCGTCGGCAAATCGGGACATGTCAAGACCAGTCGCGACACTGTCGGCCTCTTCGTCTTCTTCGGCAAGTGACTCAACAGTCCTGTCGAGAGATCCTCGTCGCGAAGAAGGAAGGGAGTAGCTTCGCTCGACGCTGACGGCAAGACGGTCGGCGCGCTGACGGGCCTCGGCGCCGGACCGTTGTTGTCTCTCCGAGGCTCTCTGCTCCGCCCAGTCGGCCTTCTGCCGCTCGTCCGGTACATCATAGCTCGTGTTACGCATTGATGGCGGGGCGAGGACGAGCTGGGCCGGTAATGGCAATGGCAGGAA